AAGTCAGAAATGTTAGATGCGCATTCGCCAGATTGCCCATCGCCATCTTGAAAACAACAGGCACACTGCGCGAACAGTCTCGGGAGCAGGATTGCGCGCGCTCGCCCGCGCAGTGTCGTTCAGAAGGCGAGCGTTCGCGCTGTTGAACATGCCTCTGGTGTTAGCCATCGAATAAGGCTGAATTGAGAAATCAGCAAATAAACCTCGAGTGTATCCTCGAGCATATATTATTAACAGCACATGTACAAAAAACTCGATATGCTAGAGAATACACGCACACTACGCCAGGTTGACGAAAACACTGTCTCTAGACTAAGGTTAATCAGAATGCGCACCTGGATCTGATTGGTGAACGTGCCGGGAGTGAAGCGGCCAGCAATGGGGTTGGCGCCAGTGGCAGCAGCAAACTTCAGAACAGCCCTCTGCCCGAAGGAGCGTGACGAGATGACACACACGTCGGCGGGATGCTCGATGGCAACGATCGCACGCGCAGCGAGCATCAGCTTATCCCAGGTCTTCTTCAGGTTGATGATGTGAACACCTGAAGATTAACAATGTGAAAACCTGAAGGTTAATAATGTGAAAACCCGAAGGTTAATAATGTGAACACCTGAAAGTTACTGATGTGAACACCTGAAGGTTAATAATGTGAACATCCGAAGGTTAATAATGTGAATACAAATTTAGCATGAAGTTTTAGAAGCGTTAGCTTTAGTATTAGCTCTAGTATAAACATCATAGGTTACACGGTGCTTGTTCTAAAAGGGTGCAACATGTGCTGCTTTACCAGTCTTACAAACGATTATCTTGGTATCATTTGGAATGGAAAATATAGGTCAAATAAAAAAATTCTAAGACTACTGTAAATATAAGCTGGACCTACTTATTTTATATTTGTGTAAGCAGTCCCACCTATTCAGTAATACTATAATTACAATAGCGATAAATCAAGTTTAGCAGCGGTCTACTTTACAATGCTACCACGAGCTGAATCGTCTTACGCAGACGGGCGTTTTGATTGTTCACACTAGCTGACTCGTGCTTTACGTTGACCGTGTTAGGTATAGAAATGTGTTGCAAAAATAGATGTACCATCAGCCTTCCTCTTGTAGATGTACTGCTCCATCTGGAAATTCACATTACTTGTTCCCAAATGAGTTGAACATGCTAGGAACTTAACAACATCCTCCTCCTTTAATTTGAGTACGCCACTGCCTCCAGACATTTTGGCTGGTGATCTATCAAGTTACGGTGATCAACCTGCAATTTTTAACACAATTAATTAGCATTTCCAGACAAATTGGGACGAAAAGTACAGATTCACACATGGAATTCGATTTTTACAGATTTCCAGAAGTTCAGAACAAAGTTATGTCACTGAGTCAATGTACACAAATTTCACACATTGCACTGTATGTATTGTCAGCAAAAGTACAGGCACTTGGTCCATTTTTAATAAAAAATCATGATAAATAAACAGAAAATGTATTTACTATCAACGTCTTAATGTTTATGTACTCTCTATTGCCCAATAACTACAGTTATATACCATTCAAATGCTCTTCTACAAATACCTCCTGACCACACGCATTTCACTTCACAACTCACAGGAGAGCATGAGTGCAAAATTCAGATAATGATCACTTCGTTTTACACCATCAAAGCACAAATACACAACTGATCACACCCATATTGGTATCTGCATAGCCAAGTGTTTACTTGTTTCAATTATCACCGCTACTCTTGAGTAGAATGTAATTTCACCCAAGAAATCTCATAAAATTCTTCCGAAAACTGCCACCCCACAGCAATATAAATGCGAAAAACAGCTCGTTTATTCACGAGTAATGGCAGTGCATTACATTCTGGGTTTAAGCGCTCCCAGCTTAGAACTAGAAGACCTAAGATGAGCACCGCCTCTTAGCTCCAAAACAAGCCACGGTGATTTGCATCATATTCAGGATGATTTTCATTGGCCAAAAGTCTAATACAGATTTTCGAATGATAAACATGCAGTTTCTTCGATTTACAATCCTGCCAAATTCAAATTCAAATTCAAATAAAGTTTATTGCACAGATAATCGCTGATCATACAGGCAAATACAAACTACAATAATTGAATAAAACAAGTCCCTAGAGTAATAAAAAACAAGAGAGAAACGATGTGTCTTATACTGCTTGAGAGAAACTGCAGGACCCACGGCACAATGTAGTAAAAATGATGGTTTTATGGATTTCACACGATTTCTCAGGCTTAATTATGTTTTACCCAAGTCCACTGGGGACAAATAAATACTTAGCTATGCGCTCATACCAATATGTCAACATCAGCATTGTTAGCATTATGTGCTCATGCTTTTCTAGCTCTAGTAACATAGCTCTTGTTAGCCTGTGGCAACAATAAATATAGCACTAGAGATAATGGCAATGCTTTCCCATCTGCTCCACCTGTTTTATACTTCAAGTTCTACAAGTTTGTGCACAGACACAGGTATGTCAGCGAACGAGCTTGGCACTCGCCCGCTCGCCAATGTCGAGTAAAAATAATATCGGGCAAGTAAAAGCTAAAGCTGACTCGCCCATGTTGGCGAGTAAAAATAATTGTCTAAAACTTTAATCAATTGTTGGTTCCTTACGTTATATATCCAAACATTGATGGTTCTACAGATCAAGCGATTGTGAATGGTGGCTATCGCACGGCATCCTCACTTTATATGTATCAAAGCGGCCGACAGTCAGCACAGCGTCTGGGCTGGGGGGGAAGTGCAGGATTGTTTAATCGCGGGTGGCGATTTCATTATACGTGGTTGCTGGGCACCTGCTGGGATTAGAGGGACAACCTAGTCGGTCCTCAGCAGACGTGGTTACTGTACATTAATCTGATAAGAGTGCTGAGGCAATGGTGCCTTTCAAGGATTATCCCAGGAAGTCGCTTGCTGTGGAATTCGACTGATCATGACCGAGCCGGTCGCGAGTCCCAAGAATTCTTTCCTGCGTATTGAGGAAAAGCTGCAATCGGGAGTGGCACACAATGAGCATGCGCAACGGAAAATAAACGTGTTGGTGAATTGCATTGACATTTTCCATGTATATATTGTAATATCAGAGTATAATATCGCTAGTAACATATAAAGTCTATCTATCTCTATCTATTATATAATATAGATCTTCTATATATACCACCGGTAATATGATATGCATCTGAACCAAAAAGAGGACGGTTAGACCGCTCATAGATTGCCAAGTAAATTTCTGTACAAACTGAAAAATAATTAAGCATCGAGGCCCGTGTTAAATTCAGTTGCAGATAGATTAACTTTTTAACCACATTGGCATTGCACTTAGCATTTGTACTTGCCACACAACTTGCAGAGGACTAGCCAATTCAACCCTCAGCCAATTTGAAGTTTAGTTTCTCTTGTTTAAGTAAGTATTTTAGTCTTTGGTGTCCTCAAAGATTAAAATACCCAACTCGAAAATAAGTATTTTCTGTGATGAAGATGTGTTAATAATGGCCTGCCTCCAGGGAAAAAATGCGCAGGAAATTGCATCGAAGAGGTGGAATTTACAGAAAAAAACAATTCCGAGGGGAAGCGGCCAGCCGCTTCCACCCGGCCTATTCCAAGGACCTCTTCCCGAACCCACCCCATAGTCTATATGTTATCACTATTGCGTGTTACAAGCATTTTTTTAAAATTTGGGCGAGTAACAGATTCCGTTGGGCGACGTTAACTATTGCAACTCACGTCGCCCCAGTGTGTGCGGAGCGTTTAATTTTAATGTTTAAAGCTTCTAACACTGAAGCGTCCGCTGCCCACTAGGACATATTGTTAAGCCACTAACTTATAAGGACAGACAGTTTAGAGAGTACCATGAACATTTAGGACCTGTTAGAAAATAGAATTAGCCGTTTATTTGCCAGCTGTTATGAGTACAATGCCACAGTGAGATTCTGTGCACTGAGGGACTGACTAAGTGAAAACAGGTGGCTGTCGCGTGCAGTCAAACAATTATCATATATTCATTATTGGAGACGATTTGTAATCCGCGAAACTATAGAAAGTAAACTACAAGTATTTTTAAGAAAAATCGAATTCCATGTCATGTTTAATGACGTTTACTGCCACTTTCAATATTATGCTCTACTCTCTTGAGTTATGTTATTGAATGATCAAATTTTTTAGGTTGTGAGTAACTTACTTAATATGCCTAATGCCACAGGGAAACGCGTTGGACGAGAGAATATTTTTTTACATTGCGCCCTCTGAGCGAGGAACAATTCATTCCATCCATTCATTGATATCTGATTCCGCATCCGCGATCGCGCGATGACGCCGAAGTAAACTACTATTTTCAAGATAAAAACAAACTTTGAATTTTCATCGCAAAACAATCACGTTTGTTACCATTGACAGAAGAGTAAATTTAAATGTCATGCTATATCGATCCTAAACGGCCACAAGGTAAGAATATGTACACATGGTCATTGTATAATTTGTCTTATGTTACTGGTGTCAGTGGAAAAGAAAGACGACCATCCGGCGTTTGCCCGTGCTGCTGCACTGCCAACAGGCACAGGCGCGCCACAGGCCTGAGAATCGGTGCCTTGTGAAAACAAGAAGGTACCCCAAGGATACAACATACAGGATCGACGTTGATATTCGCCGAGCATCGGAACCTGTTCGTCATGCGCTATTCATCCGAGCAGTTCTTGCGCCATGCGCGTGATGTAGCACTGCCGCAGCGGTACGCCTCTGAGTGCCAAGAGATAGAAGTTGGAAGGGGCGGTCTGGAGGGGCGTCTCCCCCAGACAATTTAAATCTAGGACGCTCCTAAACATGTTAATTGCTCTTTAGATTTTATATATTTTGGCCTTTTAGGCTTTTGCCTGTGCCGTTTTGCTACGGCAAAGCTCCACGGTGTGACGCCCCGCATACATGCGTTAGCGATGTGGTTATACAACCATAGATAGTGTTTCGTACTATCATCCGCTATATAAGCGAACCGAGTCGTATAATAATCTTGGTAGGTTAGATTTGGTTAATATTAGAGTCAGGTTTAAGACGTTGGTAGCGAGTAGGATAGTCCTAGACTGGCATTATAATTACATTTATTGTAATAGCATACGCATGAACACCCATGCGCAGCAACGCTCGGACGAATAGCGCATACGAACCATGTGTCCGATGCTCGGACAATATCCACGTCCATACAAGATACAGGGCCACAGCCACAGCTTCACAGTCACAGCCACTAGACACGAGGACATCTAGAGCGTCTTCAATTAAAAATCATAAATGCCCTAAATAAATACGAAATCTGATTTGACTACCAAACTCCAAAGTCTTAATGTTTAGGTACCATACTGAGACCTCCTTGACCTAATTATCCGACAATTCCTGTAAATGCTGTCAAATACATTGGTTCTCTCATTCTACAACAAACACTGGCGCCGCATGTGGCGATTGCCTGCGCTGCACTACGACACATAATATTAAGCTCTAGTACCTATAGCCTGCGTACAGTTGCCCGCTGCGCATAGCATGATATATATATAAACAGGAGTAGATAATTAGGGAAGGAGTGGCTTCAATAAAACAAGGAAATTCCGTCATTTTACTAGCCTTAAATACCAGAATATACTACACGCTTAACTCACTCCAACTGAGCTGCAAATTATACGACTAGACCGTGACTTCAGTCTCCTGTCTGTGTACGGCATCAGACTCACGCAGTGATACTAATAGACTCGGAGTCCTTCAAGTGTGACACCCGCAAACCGGAGATACAGCACTACTAAAACGTACGAAGCACGAATCTTTAATTACCGCATCTACTGTGGCCATCAAAACTACTATAGTATCGACTTAAATTCGTTCAGAGGCCCTTAGTAAATTGTTTTTTTAAACAAAAGCAAGGTCTCTGATCTAACGCTCGGCGGAAATAGCGGGTGCTAAACCGGGTATTTTTACCCTACTCGCGCAATTTGACCGGCTATCAATTGAGGATCGTTGCTGGCTGGGAGGAAAGAACATTGTGCCCGACCTTAGAAATTGGCAGCGATCGGGTAAAATATTAATCAGTAGGCCGACTAAAAATATACCTTCTGGGGTTTCGGTCACCGCCCGACTCACATTGTGCGGCGCCGGTCGAGTAAATTATGTCGGGCGTGGGGGACATACCAGCGTATGCCGGTTGCTGGTTGAGGCTGGGTATGCCGGGCAAATTATCTCCCGATGTGGCATGCGCTCGATGATCCAATCTCCCACGAGTCACAACCGCATCCGAGCGATTAGTAGCTGCGCTTTTTTTCTAAATTAGGCCTGAACGCATCGAGTTTGCCTGGCAAGCAGAAGGGAAAAATCGTGTGCGACATTTATAGTCTGTATCTCAGGATT